CCATCTATTGAAGATCTAAAGGATCATGCTTGTGATAATAACGGGAAGGAGATTTTTGAAGAGGCACAAGTTATACCCGTCTCTTTAGTCCTGCTCATTGACATGCGGATGTTACCTTTCCAAGAGCTTATTTCTTCCTTCATGTTTCAATATTTAGGGTCCCTCCTATTGCTTTGGGAATTATTCTCTTCGTGCCCTCTACATCTTCTGTTTTTCAAAGTTCTATGTGCATGTTATTGTGTTATTGCGCATGTGCTTACTAAAATGGATCTCACTGAAGAACGCAAGGTCATTCTGACCAGTCCCACTGATATCCTAAAAAATATTGTTAGAATGTCTCTTTCGGCTTGGGAATATGGTCTAGCGTAGTGACACTTCACTTTCTCTATCCCCTCTATAGTTGCTTCTCGTAAGCAATGAGAGAACGGTCTGTTGCCCACTGCCATCCTGGATATCCCTCAAGCTCCTCCAATATTGGTGACTGAATCTTTTGATTCATCGGAAGAGGACCTTCCCCCTGATGCTGGTAAATGGTCTATCAAGGCCTTTAAGAAAGGAATGGTTTGAGAGCATGCGGCAATGCTACTGGAAGGGATGAAGGCCAAATTCAAAGGAGAAATCCGGTTTGAAGAGGAAGCCATCTTCCTGGATGATATCCCCGTGCCCTAAAACCCGAGACCTAGGAGATGAAAGTCGAGGCTGAGGAGCTTGCTGCTGGGCTCTCCTTCAACCCTCTTGCTACTGATGCTACAGGTACCACTAGGAGGGGCATAGGCTTATGTTCCCAATTATTCTGATATCTTGGAACGTGGGAGGCATGAGAGGGGTGCGGAGAAGAAGGGAACTGCACAAAATGGTGCAACCATGCAGACCTAAGGTCTTTGTTTTGTAGGAAACCAAGCTCGTTTCCCTGGATGTTCTTTTTTTAAGAACGTTTTTGGGCAATGGCCCTTTAAACTTTGCTTATTCTCGTTCCTTGGGCTTTTGTCGAGGCCTTTTGACTTTATTGGACCCCTATTTATTTTCGAGATATATTTTGGATATTTTTGTTATTTTCTCTGGTCTTGATGGTTTTACGTGATGCCTAACAAATATTTATGGACCTAATGTGAATGCGGAGAAAGGGGAATTCTTGAATTCCCTTTCCAATTCTATTTCTAGGGTTGGGACCCCTTGGTGCGGTGCAAGGGATTTTAACATGGTTAGGGGACCACATGATGTTCTCTCACCTTCTGGGCTCACCCGACCATGTCTCTGTTTGACAACTTTATTTCAAATCATGGCCTCTTGGACTATGAGATCTTGGGTAGCACGTTTACTTGGTCCATCAATTCGGCAAGTGATCTGAAAATGCCCAAATTAGACCCTTTTTTTTATCTCTGCTATTTGGGATGATGTCTTCCCTAAGGATGTGGTGAATACGGTGCCCTAATTTGCCTCCGATCATGCGCCTATTTTATTAAATACTAGTGGGGTGGCCTTTGAACCCCCGCCTTTCCGTTTTGAATTGATGTGGTTGGAGGATAAACCTTTTGTGAAAGTTGTTAATAACACTTGGGACACTGTTATGGATCATCGATGGTGGGTTTTGTTCTGTCCAACAAGCTAAACCTTCTGAAGAACAAGATTAAACTGTGGGGCAGAACTAAATTTGGCAACCTAGCCGAGAATATTGGTAGGCTGGAACATGAGATCTCAACCCTCAATTCATTAGAACAAACGAACGAGGGCTCTCACAGGACCAGGTGCTAGTTTTCCAAAAAGAATGATCTCGATAAATTCATCAGGCTAGAGGAAATCTTTTGGTCTCAAAGATCCATATCTAAATTGGTTGAGAGAGATAATAATACGAAATATTTTCATGCTATTGTTAATTCTAGAAATAGATCCAACTATCTGACTGGCTTATCCATCCACAATAATGACATGGATAATGCAACGGCTATCAGGGAAAAGCCATAGTGAATCATTTCAAACTTGCCTTTACCTCTAAGCAGAGACTACAGTTTGACTTTGGGGATGTGCCTTTTAAGACTATGTCCCAAGTTTCGGGCCTTGAAAATGAGTTTACTCTTGCAGAAGTCAGAAAGGCAGTTTTTGGCCTGCATAGGGATAAGGTCCTTGGCCCAGATGGTTTCCCTCTGGCATTCGTCCAATAATTTTGGGAAGTGCTTAAGGTTGATATTTTGCGCTGAGTTAATCAGTTTCATAATGATGAGATTGTTTGCAGCAATTAACTCTACATGTATCTCTCTGATCCCTAAAAGAGTTTTGTTTGCTCTCTTCAAGATATTCGGCCCATTAGTTTGCTCTCGGGTCTGTATAAGATTTTGACCAAGATGTTGGTGAATCGTCTACGCTTGGTTATCAATGAGGTGGTTGAGGGCCCTCAAATGACCTTCATCAAGGATCGATTTATTATGGATGGGATTTTGCTGGCACAAGAAACCACTCATACGATATGTTGGGATCAAAAGGCTTGTTGCTTAAGATTGAATTCGAAAATGCCTATGATAGAGTAAAGTGGGATTACTTCGATAAGATAATGGGCCTTATGGTTTTGGTGTGAGATAGTGAAAGTGGATTTTGGATTTCCTCAACCCATTTCTTAGTGTTGATTAATGGGAAAGTGAATGGCTATTTTCATGCCACTAGAGGCCTGAGACGGGGTGACCCATTATCCTATTTTCTGTTTACCTTAGTTGTTGAGGCTTTTAGCAAGATGTTGCAAGGTTTGGTGGACACATAAATGATCAAGGGTCTACAAGCCTGGCCTAATGGCATGGTGGTCAGCCATCTACAATATGCAAGATGACGTGCAGATCCTCTTGGAGGGGACTTATAAACTGTGCATAATCTATAGTTTCTTCTCAAGCTCTATGGGTTGATCTCAAGGGCCCAGATCAATATGGATAAATCTAAACTTCTGAGGATTAATTGCTCTACCACTAAAGTTGAAAACTGGCCCAACTGGCTTGACTGTGTGGTTGAAGGATTTCCCACGAAGTGCATGGGGCTGCCACTCCTTAATGGTAGTTCTACAATCTCTCTTTGGGATCCTCTCATTCAAAAGCCCCATGTAAAATTGGATGAATGGAAGGCAAGGTTCTTATCCTTTTGTGGCAAAACGACACTTATTAATGCCATTTTATCTAACCTTCTCATTTATTATTTATTGCCTTTTTTGGCATTAGATGCAGTTATTGATAAGATTGAACTTCCTTTTGAATGGATCCCAGAATAAAAAAATATTCTATTTGGTTAAATGGAACTCAGTTTGCCCACCAAAACGAGTTAGTGGTCTGGGTATTCGTCAACTCAGGGCTGTCAATGAGTCCTTGCTTACCAAGTGGTTGTGGAGACTATATGTGCATGGTGATCAACTATGGGCCAAGGTGATTCTTGGTAAATATGGTCGAGATGCCGATGGTCCTTATGTTAGGTGGTGTCCGAGATCGCTGAATTTGTCCATGATTTGGCGAGGTATCCAAGTGTTGAGCCTCTTTTTTTGGCTTACATGAGGATAGTTGTTGGGGATAGACTTTCGACCAGGTTTTCGCTTGCAAAATGGCTATGGGAGCTCCCTCTAAAACTACTCTAACCGGAACTATACAGAAAGTCAACCCAAAAAAGTGCCTTGGTTGCTGACTTTTCACCTTAGATGATGGTAATCCTGTGTGGAATGTCACCCTTTCCATTAGAAGGATGGACCATATGGTTGTACAACAATACTCGGCATTGCTAGAAGCTTTGTATAGCTTTTGTTTATTCCTGTGGAAACAGGATAGGCTCATTTGGAGCCTAGAACTGAGGGCAATTCTCTACCAAATCGGTTTATGTTGAGATGTAGAGATATAGATACTTTGGGGACAAAAAGCACCGTGCAAAATTCTGGAAGTGTAAGGTGCCTCAGAGTCGAATTCTTTCTCTGGCTCTTTGCTTATAGGAGGTTGCTTACCGTGGACCAACTACAGAGGAAGGACATGATTATGACTAATGTTTCCTTGTTCTGCAAAGAGGATGAAGAGGCGATCGATCATCTCTTCCTCAAACACAAATATATGACAGAGTTATGGGATTGGCTTGCTAGTTTGGCGAACTGGCACAGACCCTGGCCTTAGGATGTTCATATTCTGCTACGACAGATATGAAACCCCTTTGCATCTTTGGGGTTAATCAATGGAGAATTACTAGTGCTGCATCTCTCCATGTCCATGTCCTTTGAAAAGCGATAAATCAGAGAACTTTTGAATGTCGTTTTAGGTACTTCCCCACAATTTTGCTGTACTATTCAACGGTCTAGTCAGTTGGGCATTTGCTTCTCTTCCATTGACTGCGGTTCTTCGTGGGGTATGGACAAAACCACCAAAAGGCTGGTTCAAGCTCAATTTCGATGGAAGTGCGACAAGAGCACGGTCTGATTTTGGAGGCCTCCTTCGAGACCATATCGATTGTATGATCTGGTCTTACTCTGGTTGCCTCCATCCTTACAAGATTAATGAAGCTGAGCCTTGACCCATGAGGATGGGTGTGTCCCACCTGAACAAGATGTATCAGAAAGTAATCATTGAAGGAGATTCTATCGATGTTATCTCATGGTGTATCTAGCCAAACATTATTATGTGGAAGCTTAGTGCGATTATGTAAAAAATTACTCTGGCTCTTAGGACCATAGTCTTTCCTTTCTTCAGGTTCAACGTGGTGCTAACACTAATGCGGACTCCTTAGCTAAGCTGGCTACGGCTCCTTTCTCTTCATATTAGCATTTGCTTAGATGCCCTTTCCTTTCCTCCTCTTTTTTTTTTCTTCTTGTGTTCCTTTTCCCTTTCCTTTCCTCTTTTTTCTTTTTCTTTTTCCTTTTTATTGTAATTATCTCAACGAACATCGCACTTACTTAAAAAACAAATTGCTTATGATTAATTCGAATTGCGAAAATTAAACGAGACAATGTAGAATTTCCCAGAATAAAAATACATAGACAATGTAATTTGGACAATTACTATCAACAATCATTCCATGCAATTTCCATTTGAGCAAAAGACCAATTGGCATGTTGACACAAAAACCACACTCGGAAATACATGCACGCATTACTCGGCATCATCATCATCATAGATTATCATTTTCCTTTTTGGCCTAACATCAGACACAACAGTCTCCACATTATCATCTTCAATGCCCAAGTCATCAACCATATTATCATCTGGTAACAATTGGGACGAGGCCAACAATGAGCTCTCCATTTCACCAACAGCCATATCCTTGGCTTTCTCCATGGCAGCCATTCCATCCATCATCACCTCATTGCCTGTTAACTGATATTGTGATTTGATTCTTTGGATGTCCTGACGTCCGAAGGATGCAAGTTTTAATTCGTCGTCTTCTTTAGCATGTATATCCCTGACAAAGAAAACGCTTTCAGCATGTATAACAAAAAGTTAGAATGACTTTGGTACCAAGGCACAAACACATTTATGGTTGCCACATGTGACTTGCAATGAAACTTAAAAGCAATTAAAAGCCTGTCGCTTAATAATAAGGCACTCGATTTGAAATGGGAGAGGCCTTGGGTTCGAACCTCTTTCTTGCAAAGCAAGGTTACCTACCATTAACACTTGGAGGAACAAGGTATATCGGACTTCCAACTTTTAAAACATATCATGGAAAATTATCATAAAGAAAATTAATAAAAATTATAACACGAAGGTTGGATTGTTTTCATCATTTGCCATAAATGATTGGGTTGATTTCGTTGAAATATAATTGCAGGTATCATAGTCATCTATAAGATGGCAGGAAAGCTGCTGAACAAGGGCTAAATATTCCTACAATGGAATATCAGGAGGAATCATGGCCAGCATAGGGGCGCCCCTTACCTGCTCAGGATGTAAACTTTCTGTTTACATTGGTTAGAGCTTTTGGGCATCATATGGGAAATGAAAAACATGCAACCAATTGACTTGTATGCTTGGACAGATGAACTGCATTGTTAGGCACCATACTTAACCGAAGCATTTGCAAGGAAGAAACACAGTTGGGAACTTCAGTCGGGACAAAAAGAAGAAAAAAGAGCTTGTTGAGGACACAGCCAATGTGCAGAAAATATACCATCAAATAAAGAGCTTACTGAAAGTATGCAGATGATCTACCCTACATGTACACACAGTTGGGGAGTTAAAACAAAAGCGCTAGGCAGCTCACCTAACAAGGAAAAGAGAAGATAGAGCAAATGTGAAAGAAGATTCCATTTTCATCATGCATCTAGAAAAGGATAAATGAATATATAATTAAGAAATGCTTTTAACAGAGGGATGTGAGATACCAGTCCACTGCATGCTGAGAAGCACCACTTATGTTACTATGAGTTACTGTCACCGGAACTTGAACCAAACTAAGATGGTCATTCTTTACTTTTTTAGACGACCTTCGGATCTTTTTCCTGGTGCAAGATAAATATGAGTAAATAACCATAATTTGTACTAGTGAGCACACAATTGGACCACCTGAGAAACAGGCGGGACCAGTTAAGAGTATTGATCATTCCAGATTTTCAGCATTCGATTGAGTTCCAATTTCTAGTCACTATTTAATTGTGAGAATGTCCAATCACAATTTAATCCATTTTATATATTATAGAATTATAAATAGCCATAGATTAATTCTGTTCTACAATACAAAACTGGAAAACTGTACATTTCTTCTGAAAGTATAAATTACTTCCCTTCCAGTTATCCAAATAAAAGTAACTTTACATGCCAAAGTGATATCGGTAGCAGAATAAATGGCTGTAAAGGATGAAATAGAAGAAATCCCTGGAACTTCAAGATATTCAATATCCATCAATACTGAAAATTGGGACCATAACTTCAACAATGGCCCCTATTACTGCCAACCACAAAAAATCTTTTGTAACCGAAAGCCTCCTTGATGTATACATATAAGACAATCACTTACAATTGGAAGATTCTCATGAATAATAAAAAGAAGATTTCTTTGTCAATTTCGAAACCAAATTGATGCTTAAGGCTACCATAAAGTCCAGAGCTAAATATAACTTACTTCAATTCATCATATCAATTTTGTGAAATTCACAATACACCAAGACATAGTTAAGGGAACCCTGTGGGTAGGGTGACGATCCCGCTACGGAACCTCGATCCCACGGTTCCTGCAAAGGTTCTTGTAGGGACCCCGGTTTTTCTATTTTGGGATCTTGCTCCCAAAAAAAGGGGACCATGTTCCATCCATCAGTGGAATCCAGTTCCATTTCAAAATAGATCCGCGCTGTCATCAACTACGATCCAAGGTTTTCGTACATTAAAATCTTGGGTTCCATATTTATGGGATATAATGTTCGAAAATTCAACCGCCCGACCGCCTAGGTGAAAAAATTCAAAAAACATCTCGTCTAGGCGGGGTCACAAGGGGGCCTGTCACTGGGTACCCACCTAGGCAGCCAAGGTGCCGCCAAGGCACTAATGTCTGGGCACCCGCCTAGGCGCCACCCCGTGACAACTTGCAAACGGCAGGGAAAAAAAAACAAACATCTCAAGTGGGGTTAAAAAAAGTCAGTTTTCTCACCTAAAAAGGGGGGAAAAGGGTTTTGGGAGGACATTCTAAACCCCAAAATCAAAATTGTGGCTTTTAGAGTGAGAAAAACTCCCCAAAAACCACTCTTTTGAGATTTATTGAAAGATCGATAACTTTTTTATTTTTTCGATTGCTTTCCAAAACAAAGACAATAGTTCGCGGGTGGATTTGGAGCTTCTTTTAGAGACCCAATAGACGAGGTTTGCACCGACATTGATATGACTTTGATATTTTTAAAGTATTATCATATTTTAAGGAGGGTTTTTATTTTATTTTGCTACAACATATTATGTTATGAATCATGTGTTTTTTATTTTATTTTTTTTTTCTTTTACGTTATATTTACATGTTTGTAGTTAAAATATTGATTTTTTTTGTGATTAATGAATTTCTTCTCATTTGGACGATGAAATTGAGCATACATCGTATTCTTTTATGAATAGTTGATTCTTTTTTTGTACAATGTGTCATGTTTTGATATTCTATTTCTATTATTTTTGTTTTATTTTATTTGACAAATAATTGATTAAGTGATATTTTAATGGGTTAAGCCTTATGTGAAAGTGAAACTAATGCCTTATATATTGAATAGTTTCTTATTGTAAAGTAATAGTTAATGACTTAATTCTTTAATCATATCTATTTTACAGGTCTGTTGATGTGGTGATTGATTTTAATTTACATTGATTGATACTTGATCAATTATTATTCATTGAGGATAATGACGTTTAGTGCATCAAATAGGCCAACTGATTCAGGTTGGAAGTTTGAAACTTGTCCAAATCCTCTTGACAAGAATAGGATCGAGTGCAAGTTTTGCTAAAATTGTTATAATGCCGGCATCAACAAAATGAAGATGTATTTAGCCGGCGTTAAAGGGGATGTGGCGTCATGCAAACTAGTGCCTGCTGCGGTCAGGAGAAAGATGCTAGAGAACTTGGAGGGGTGAAAGCCAAGAAACAGGAGGTAAGATTAAAACGAGATCAACTTATAGGGGCTGTAAATATAAGTGGAGATCGAAGAGAGGAAGAACACATGTATACTGAGGTTGGTTCTTCTAATAGGGACAAGAACAAGAGGGCCTATGGATGCATTCTTACCCCACCCTGATCCCAAGGTACTACCACGAGAAAAGGGTCAAACAAGCTTAGAGACCCATCTAAAGAAGGACAAAAGAGAAAGGGTCATCCAATATCTGGGGAGGTGGATGTTCCAAGCATGCATTTCTTTCAATACCGCTAACTTGAGTAGCTTCAAGGCCATGTTGGAAACATTGGGCCACGGTTAAGAGCTCCAAACTACTTATGAGCTTAAAGGGCCAGTACTCAAGAAAGAAGTGGAGCTAACGAACAACTACTTGAAGACCTATAGTGATGAGTGGGTGTATATGGTTGCACAATAATGACCGATGGCTGGAGTGATAAGAGGCACAGAAGCATCATGAATTTGATGGTAAATTGTCCATTAGGGACAATGTTCAAGAGGTCTATTGATGATTCAAACAAGTCCCATGATGCAGAGTTCATTTTTCATTTGGTGGACCAGTGTATAAAGGAGATAGGGGAGGATATAGTGGTCCAAGTTGTGACCGATATGTATTCAGCTAATATGGCGGCCACTAGATTATGGATGGATAAGCGACCACGTATTTTCTGGTCCCCTTGTGCACCATACTGCATAGACCTCATGCTTGAGGCCATTGGTAAGAGAAAGATGTTCATGACAACCATCGAAAAGGCAACGAAAGTCACAATTTATTTGTACAGTCACACTCAAGTATACATTTTAGTACTATACCAATTTCTTTGGCCATTTGTTATTGATTTTGAGTATTTTTAATGCATTGATTTATTAACGATAATCTACTTAACTTATGGAATTCTATATTGGTCACTCCTAGCCATGATGAGAAAGTTTACTGAGAACAGAGACTTGGTGAAGCAGGGGTGAGTAGATTTGCCACCTCATACTTCCCTTGCAATCTTTATTTGAGAAAAAGGACAAATTGCGGTCCAGGTTTGTGTCTGAGGATTGGACCAAGTCCACGTGGTGCAAGAAAGCTGATGAAAGAGTTGTTATGGACATTATCATGGATTCAAGATTTTAGAACCAGGTCCAGTATGCCTTATTAATCTTTCACCCGTTGGCAAAGGTTCTCAAGTTGCTTGATGCTAAGAAGAAACCTGTTATGGGGCATATCCATAAAGCTATGCAGGATACGAAGGAAGAAATCAAGAGATCTATGGGGGATGAAAAGCGGTATGGGCCGTTTTTGAAGACTATTGAAGACAAATAGAGCTCCCAGCTTGAGAGGCCCCTACACTTAGCAAAATATTACCTTAACGCTGCTCACTTTTACACTGATGTTGAAGTACATAGCAGGCCTGAGTTCATGGATGCTCTCAACCATTGCAATGTGAAGCTCAACCTTGATCTTGAAGTGCAGGATAAGGCAATGATGGAGTTAGATTTGTATAGGCTCGCTACTGGATCTTTAGGTAAGGAGGCAGCAATCAGGCAAAGGTCCAAAATATCTCTCAGTAAGTTTAGAACTTCAATTTGATTTTGTAATTTGAGTATTTAATTTCAATTAACCAAATGGCCAGATACCTAATTTACTAAATTACTACATTCACAATTTTACATTCACATGAAATATGTACATGGTGGATGGGCCATGGAGGAAGCACCCATCATTTGAGGCAGATGGCCATGAAAATACTAAATCAGAAGTTCACACGTCCAGAAGAGCTGCAAGTTCACACATCCACACAAATTTGAAGCAAAAAATATGGGGGGACTGCCACAGCTCCCGTAGATCCGTGAATAGCATGTCCGTGATGGGGGCAAAACACTATAGGTCTGTAGCACTTCGCCTATAGCCGTTTTCAAGACTTTTCCTATATATATATATATATATATATATATATATATATATATA